AGAGATGAGGTCTCGCCAAGTTGCCTAGGCTGGTCTTGAACCTGTGGGCTCAGGCAATCCTCTTACCTTGGCCTCCCAAAGTGCTGGGATTATAGACATGAGCCACCGCTCCCGGCCTTGCAGTAAGACTTTTCTTGCTTTCTTGTTGTTACTTTCATTTCGTCGACCACTTGCATATGTTACCTATTCAAAAAATAATATTTGAATGCACAAACTGTGTTTCTTTCCTTTTTGGGGGGGAGGAGGAAGTGATTATCTTGTTGAGTGCCAGGGTTCTTTTTTGTCAATTCATTCAACAAATATTTATTGCCAGACAGTGTTCTATGTGACCAAGCTCCTTCCAAGGGTGTTGTGCATTTCTTGTCTCCCAGGTCAGAGGGAGCCTTTTTGTCATATCCCTTCATGTGTAGGCACTGGAATCCAGCTCTCTAGCTTCAAGGATTAGGACCCATTTCCAGAAACCAAGGATAATTCTGCAGGGTATATCTATGGCCTTTACAGCTTATCTACCTGGGTTCCCTAGAGGGAACCTTAACTCTTATCCTGAGCTGGATGTGGTAGCTCACACTTGTAATCCCAGCACTTTGGGAGGCTGAGGCAAGAGGACTGTCTGAACTCACAGGTTCGAAACCAGCCTGGGCAACATGGCGAGACCTCATCTCTACAATAAATAAAAAAATTAGCTGGGTGTGGTGGCGCATGCTTGTAGTTCCAGCTACTTGAATGACTGAGGCAGAAGGATCGCCTGAGCCCAGCAGGTCAAGGCTGCAGTGGTCATGAGCATGTCACTGCCCTCCAGCCTGGGCGAGACAGTGAGACTTCAACTAAAAAACAAAACAAAAAACTCTTATTCTGTAGTGCTTTACTCAGCGCACTGAGAGACACATTCACACTTGGCCTATGGAATCATGTTAAAAGAAGGATGACAATATAGTCCAAACTTTCTTTTTTCTTCTTTTTAAGAGCAAGGGTCTTGCTCTGTTGCCCAGGCTACACTTGAACTCCTGGACTCCAAAGATCCTCCTGCCTCAGCCTCCTGAGTAGCTGGGACTATGGGCATGCACCACTGTACCCAGCTAACTTGTTTTTGAGGGGTGGGGGTACCAAATTATTTGATTTGTCTACATTGACTCTACTGTAGTCCCTCCTTATGTGCAGTTTTGTTTTCCAAAGTTTCAGTTACCCACCGTCAACTTTGGTTTGAAAATATTACGTGGAAAATTCCAGAAATAAACAACTCAGGTTTTAAATTGCACGCCATTCTGAGTAGCAGGATGAAATCTCACGTTGTCCTGCCCTGTACCACCAGGGACGTGAATCATTCCCCTCTTCAGGGTCTCTGTGCTGTCCACACCAGTCTGTTAGTCATTTTTCAGATCAACTGTCTTGGTATTGCGGTGCTTTTGCTCAAGGAACTCTTATTTATTTAATAGTAGTCCCAGAGCACAAGAGTAGTGATACTGGCCTATTGTTATGATTGTTCTTTTTTTTTTTAGTTGGAGTCTCACTCCATTGTCCAGGGCTGGAGTGCAGCTCACAGCCACTGCAGCGTCGACCTGCTGGGCTCTGGTGATCCTTCCACCTCAGTCTTCCATGTAGCCGGAACTACAGGCGTGTGCTACCGTGCCCAGCTAATTTTTTAATTTTTATCATAGAGATGAGGTCTCACCAAGTTGCCTGGACTGATCTCAAACCTGTGGGCTCAGGCAATCCGCTTGCTTTGGCTTCTCAAAGTGCTGGGATTACAGGCTGAGCCACTGAGCCCGGCCGATTGTTTTATTTTATTACTGGTTACTGTTGTTAAACTCTTACTGTGCCTAATAGATTAAACTTTGCCATAGGTATGTATAGCAAAACACAGTTTAGGGTTTGGTACTATTTGCAGTTTCGGGCATCCACTGGAGGTATTGGGACCAGAGATACAGGGGGACTACTATATCTTTTTTCTAAAAGTTGTGAGATGCAGTATATGGTTGGTTTCCTCTGCTGGCCAAGCAGCAGAACTGTTCCTGGCTAGCTCGTCAGTCAGCTAGAATGCCCATGCATGTCAGTTGTACAGAATGTTGTAGAGTTCTTCTTTTTCCACACTTCTGACCATACATGCTTTTTTTTTTCCCTAACAGAGACATCACTAACCTGGTGGCTCAGGTGGTTCCAATTCATGCTGTTTCCTACCTCTTTGAAGCTCTTGCTGTAAGTATTAATGTCGTATTCCCTAAGAGCTGTTGCAATCTATGGAAATGTCTTCTCATGATGGTAAATTTCAACTAAGGCCGGGCTTGGTGGCTCAGCGGCTCAGCCTGTAATCCCGCGCCTTGGGAGGCCGAGGTGAATGGATTGCCTGAGCCCGCGGGTTCGAGACCTGCCTGGGCAACTTGGCGAGACCTCATCTCTACAATAAATAAAAAAATCAGCTGGGTGTGGTAGTACGCGCTGGTAGTTCCCGCTACTTGGAAGGCTGAGGCGGAAGGATTGCTGGAGCCCAGCAGGTCGAGGCTGCGGTGGCCAGCAGCAGCCACTGCACTCCAGTCTGGGCGACAGAGTGAGACTCCGACTCATAAAAAAAAATTTTCAACTAAGAGGGGCTAGGGTAGGTAGCAATATTGAACGTTGCTATCATATTTAATTTAGAAGAATGCTATCTGAGCCAGGTGCAGTGGCTCATGCCTATAATCCCAGAGCTTTGGGAGGCTGAGACAGGAGGACTGCTTGAGCTCAGGTATTCAAGACCAGACGGGGCAACATAGCAAGACCTTGTCTCTACCAAAAAACAAAATTAGCTGTCCATGGTGGTGTGTGCCTGTAGTCCCAGCTACTAAGGAGGCTGAGGCAGAAGGATCCCTTGAGCCTAGGAGATTGAGGTTGCAGTGAACCGTGACCACGCTACTGTGCTCCAACCTGGGTGACAGAGTGAGACCTTGACTCAAAATTAAAAAAAAGAAATAGTAGAATACTGTCACATGGTCATGGATTTTTGAGTCAGAGTTCCACAGAATGGTAAGCGTTGGGGAGGTGGTAGTCTCTTGGAAGCACCAGCCATGTTCACATGGATGGAATGTCATGTGCCCACAGTGTACATGCGGCGGCATTCTGCGGGGAAGTGGAAATCAGAAGATTGGAGCCATTGTGAATGCCATCGGGTATTACATGGTTGGTCTCCCCATCGGGATTGCGCTGATGTTTGCGACCAAGCTTGGAGTGATGGGTAAGCTTTAACCATTGGTAGTTGCTCACAGGCCTAGGAAATGAGCGCCAGCATGCAGGTCTTTTACTGAGACTCTACTCTGAAACACGGAACTTTTCCCACATTCATTCTGTGCCTTGTCAGAACACAGGGAGGGATCAGGGTGGGTAGCTTTCAGCTCCAGCCAAAGGCTACATGGTCCTGCTGTGCGTGCCCATGTGGGCTATTTTCCACACGGACACACTTGAGCACAGCAAGATGCCCCTCTTTCTACTCACCTCCCCGGCCTGGGGCATCAAGTTCTCACTTCTTCAAAGGAGCTGATAGCAGGGACCGCTGAAGAAGCATTCGGAAATGTCCATTTGTGGATTCTGTTCTATTCTATAGTGACAGCCCTCGCATGGTGAGACCCAGAGACCGAGTCTGCAGGGCTAAGGCCATCGTACCCTGGCCATCCTCAAGTGTTTGGGGTGAGGCAGGGTCAGCACTCATGATGGCCATGTACATACCAAAGAAACATCCGTATGTGTTTGCCCAAGCAGCGTGGCAGGATCCATGGAGGACACTGCATGGCTAGTGCCCTCCTTGTTACCCTCATCCCATTCTGCAGCCTCCACCTCCCTCCTGGATCAGTTTCTTAGCTCTGTGTCTTGACGGTCTCCCTACAAGGGCATGTGGTATGATGGGTGTGAACAGCAGAAGGAAGCGGGGGCATGAACTTCTTCATCACTTTACTACATTTGGAAGAAAGACCTTAATTCACAGGATCTGAAATTACCAGTGCTAATCTTTTTTAAAAGTATGGAAATAAATAACTGCCCAGCTTTGATTTCTAAAATAATAATTTGGAAGACATTGGCAGTTAATAAATGGTTCTGTGAAAACCTGGACATGATCTTTGGGGTGAAATAGTGACTGACTTAAGCATGGTTTGTTTTGATCCATCGGTACTTGGCATGCTCAGAGGTGGTGAGAAGTCAGCTGATACCCAGAGGGGACCTACAGTTCAATATGTTCTATTATGTTGCACATTTCTCTCAAGTTCAATAATATTTTAATTAAAAATACAGGACTTATTCAAAGAATAGAATTGCCAATGCAAAGTTCACTGGGCTTACATCATGGTGCAACTTATTTAGCTGAGTTTCTGGTATTATTCATATTTTGGATTTTATTTTACACAACAGATCTAAAACATTGTGACTGCAACATGTATATCAGTAAGGAGATACTTTACATTCTTTTTTTTGAGTTGGAGTCTCACTCTGTCTCCCAGTTTGGAGTACAATGGCACGCTCACAACCACCACAGCCTCAGGTGATCCTTTCACCTCACCCTTCCAAGTAGCTGGAACTACAGGCACATGCCACCATGCCCGGCTAATTTTTTTTTTTTTTTTATTGTAGAGATGAAGTCTCACCAAGTTACCCAGGCTGGTCTTGAACCTATGGGCTCAGGCAGTCCTCTTACCTTGGCCTCCCAAAGTGCTGGGATTACAGGCGTGAGCCACCGTCTCCGGCTACATTCTTTTTTATATTATATCATCTTATTATTTCAAATTGACAAATTATAATTGTATATGTTTATGGGGTACGATGAGGTGTTTGATATATGTATACAATGTGAACATTAGGTCAAGCTAATAAACATGTCTGTCACCTCGTATCATTTTTTATGGTGAGACATTTGAAATTTCCTCTTGGTTAATTTGAAGTACACATTATTATTGACTATAGTCACCCTGCTGTTCAATAGCTTTCAAAGCATGTTCTACCTGTCTGAAACTTTGTGCCCTAATGCTCCCCATTCCCTCTCCCCTTTCCCCCAGCCTCTGGTAACCACCATTCTACTCTACTTCTGTGAATACAACTTTTTAAGAAGAAGAATCCACTTTATTTTTATTTATTTATTTATTGTAGAGACAAGGTCTCGCCAAATTGCCTGGGCTGTTCTCGAACCGGCAGGTTCAGGCAGTCCACTGAACTTGGCTTCCCAAAGTGCTGGGATTACCGGCTGAGCCACTGAGCCAAGGAATCTACTTTAAAACCCAGATGAGTGCAGTGGCTCAAACCTGTAATCCTAGCACTATGGGAGGGCGAGGCAAGAGGATTGCTTGAGTCCAGGAGTTTGAGGCCGATCTAGACAACACAGCGAGACCTCATTTCTTTCTTTTTTTTTTTTTGTTGGAGTCTCACTGTCTACCAGACTGGAGTGCAATGGCATGCTAATGGCCACTGCAGTATTGATCTGCTGGGCTCAGGTGATCCTTCTGCCTCAGCCTTCCAAGTAGCTGGAACTGCAGGCATGTGCCATCACACCCGGCTAGTTTTTCTTGATTTATTGTAGAGACGAGGTCTCACCAAGTTGTCCAGGCTGGTCTCAAACCCGTGGGCTCAGGCAATCCTCTCACCTGGGCCTTCCAAAGTGCTGGGATTATAGGCGTGAGCCACCATAACCTGCTGAGATCTCATTTCTTTTTTTTCTTTTTTTCTTTTTTTTTTTGAGTTGGCGTCTCACTCTGTTGCCCAGACTGGAGTGCAGTGGCCGCTCCCGGCCACCGCAGCCTCGACCTGCTGGGCTCCGGCGATCCTTCTGCCTCAGCCTTCCAAGTAGCCGGAATTACAGGCATGTGCTACCACACCTGGCTAATTTTTTATTTATTGTAGAGATGAGGTCTCACCAAGTGAGACCTCATTTCTACAAAAAATAAAATTAAAAAATAAGCTGGGTGTGGTGGTATTTGCCTGTAGTCCCAGCTACTCGGGAGGCTGAGGTAGGAGGATTGCTTGAACCCAGGAAATGAAAGCTGTGGTGAGCCATGGTGGTGCCACTACACTCCAATCTGGGTGACAGAGTGAGACCCCAATTCAAATAAATAAATAAATAAATAATAAAAATAAAATGTAAACCCCATCCATATCTCAAGTGCTGTCCCTGGCTCACTCATTCATTTAACAAATGCATACTTGCTATGAGCAAAATAGAGTAAGTTGAGAATCACTGAAAAGAAACACTGGGGGTGGTGAGGACTCTGTGAGAAGACTGTATACAATGCCTCCACCCACATCTTAGAAGAAAAGGTGGTATGAATTGATTTTGAATATTGTGTCTCCTCTGGAAATGTATGCAGTATACCTATACGAGGTATCCAGGAGAGCATCAGAATTCTGCAGGGTCTCAGGAGCAACACAAGCAAATTTTTTTTTTTTTTTTTTTTT